CTGAGACGGCTGTCTAAGCTGAAGCCTATACTCTCCAAAAAGAACCTCGAGACAGTGATCCACGCCTTCATAACATCTAGGCTTGATTACTGCAATTCACTTCTGTTTGGAATCAGTCAGTCCTCCATTGCTCGTCTACAACTGGTCCAAAATGCTGCAGCCCGATTTTTAACTGGTACAGGCTATAGAGAGCACATCACGCCAGTTTTGGCCTCCCTGCACTGGCTACCCATTCATCTTCGGATCCATTTCAAAATTCTCATGTATGTTTTTAAATCACTGAACAGTTCCACCCCATCCTATCTCACTGATCTTCTGCAGCCATATGTCCCACCGCGCTCTCTGAGGTCAGCAGACCAGATGCTTCTCTCAGTCCCAGAAACCCGTCGTAAGCTCAGAGGTGAAAGGGCTTTCTCTGTTGCAGGTCCACGACTGTGGAATGAGTTGCCACTGAGTGTCCGGCAGGCTCCCACACTCTCAGTCTTTAAGTCTCGCTTGAAGACCCACTTCTATTCGCTTGCCTTTAACACGGTGTGATTTGTTTTGGTCCGGTCTGTTCTCTTCTCTGTTGGCCATTTTAGTTAGCTTCTGCTGCTATTTGTATCTGTATTTCTATTTTATGTTTTCCTGTCTGCTGTGCATGTTTGGTTCTTTTGTACAGCACTTTGGTTGGCCTTGTTGCTGTTTTAAGTGCTATATAAATAAATTGGTATGGTATGGTATGGTAAGCAGCTTGTTTTGAGCTTTCAGGAGTATTTGTGCATATATAAGGTCTGGAGTGAGCACACGGTGGCATATAGGTGGTGGGATGTGTAATCATTCTCACCTCTGGGACCTGTGATCACTCTCATATGTAGCATGTAGACATTTAGGGTTCTGGGCAAGGGTTGGGGAGGTTAACAGGCACTGCCTGCTCATTGCCGCCTCATCCCCCCCATTTTAAACGCATTATATAACAACATACATCAACACCGTATTTGAGTGGGAGGAGGGAGGAGTGGGATCTTCCTGTTAATTATATATATATATATTTTTTTTTTTTAAATAAATTTTATATATATATATATATATGTATGTATATATATATGTATGTATATATATATGTATGTATATATATATGTATGTATATATATATGTATGTATATATATAT